AGCCTGGGCAACATAGCAAGACTCCGTTTGTACAAAAATATCAAAAAATTGTGTGTGTGGCCAGGCGTTGTGCCTCACACCTGTAATCTCAGCACCCTGGGAGGCCAAGGCTTGGGAGGATCGCTTGAGGTCAGTTCAAGACCAGCCTGAGCAAGAGTGAGACCCCAGCTCTAGTAAAAACAGAAATTAGCTGGGCAACTAAAAGTAGAAAAAATTAGCTAGGTGTCGTGGTGCACGCCTGTAGTCCCAAGTACTTGGGAGGCTAAGGCAGGAGGATCACTTGAGCCCAGAAGTGTGAAGTTACAGTGAGCCATGATTTTACCACTGTACTCCAGCCTGAGGGACAGAGCAAGACCCTATCTCTAAAATAAATGAATAATTGGAAAAATATTTTTACCTGGAATAATTCAGGTATAACATCAGTTTTCATCTGCTGTTGTTATTCCTATTTTGTTCTTTTCCGAGTTTTCAATATCTTTGTTGCAAGTGAACTCAATACCAACAATAATAATAGTAAACATTTTCTGATTATCTGCCATTTTCTGATTATGTGCCAGGTACTAATTATAAGCATTTTCCCAATATTTAAACTTTTACATCATTTTTATTAGATATTTATAGATATGCCTATCCATCCCCACTGTAAAGATGACGAAACTAAGGCACAGGGTTAAGTAACATGCCTAACATCACACAGTTAAGAAATAGGTTTCATACTGTGACTTCACACATTACCCAGCATCTGTGTTCCTCTTGTTGCCGCTACACTATGTTATGCGGTGCTGGGTAGTTCAATCCCATTTGCTACAGAAAGATGACTCTGTGATTTGGTGAACTGTTTTGATATTGACCTTGAACTTTGCTACTGAACGTATGGCCACTGCATTCAAATCACTTGAGGCTTCTTAATCAGCGGGTCTGGGGTGAGGCCAGACTGTATTTCTTTTTTTGTTTGGGGATATTTGGATTGTTTATTTGGTTTTTTTTTTTTTTTTTTTTTTTAACAACTTGACTAATGCGTGTGTTATTTCTTTTTTGGTTTAATTTTTATTTGTTTAGAGATGGTGTCTCTCTCTGTTCCCCAGGCTGGATTCAAACTCCTGGGCTCAAGCAATTCTCCCACCTCAGCCATCTCAAGTAGCTGGGATACTGGTGCTTGCACCACCAGGTTGGCAGATTGTGTAGTTCTAACAAGCTCCCAGGTGATGCTGATGCTGCTGATTTGTGAAACATGAGTAGCAAGGATCTAGAAGACATTTTGCCACATTCTTAAAAATTCCTGCTTTACTTTAGTTATATTAAAGATTCAATGGAGATTTAGCCTCTGAAATACAGGCATACCTTGGAGTTGTTGCATATTTGGTTCCAGACCACTATAATAAAGCAAATGTCACAATGAAGTGAACCACACAAATTTATGAGTTTCCTAGTGCATATAAAAGTTCTGTTTACACTATACTATAGTCTAAGTGTGCATTATCATTATGTCTAAAAAATAATGTGTATACCTTAATTAAAAAATACTTTATTACTAAAAATGCTAATTGTCACTTGACTCCTCAGGAGTCATAATCCTTTGGGGGTAGAGGGTCTTGTCTTGATGTTGATGGCTGCTGACTAATCAGGGTGGTAGTTGCTGAAGGTTGGAGTGGCTGCGGTGATTTCTTAAAATAAGACAATGAAGTTTGCCATGGATGGACTTTTGCTTTCATGAAAGATTTCTCTGTAGCACATGATGGTATTCAGTAGCATTTGACTCACAGTAGAACATCTTTCAAAATTGGAGTCAATCCTATCAAACCCTGCCAGTACTTTCTCAACTAAGTTTATGTAATATTCTAAATCCTTTGTTGTCATCTCAACAGTGTTCACAGCATCTTCACCAGGAGTAGATTCCCTCTCAAGAAATCACTTTCTTTGCTCATCCATAAGAAGCAACTCCTTATCTGTTCAAGTTTGATCACAAAATTGTAGCAATTCATTAACAACTTCAGGCTCCGCTTCTAGTTCTCTTGCTATTTCTGCCACATCTGCAGTTCCTTACTCCACTGAAGTCTTGAAGCCCTCCAGGTCTGCATGAGGATTGGAATCAGCCTCTTCCAAACTCCTGTTAACATTGATATTTTGACCTCCTATGAATCATTAATGTTCTTATGGCATCTAGAATGGTCAATCTTTTCCAGAAGGTTTTCAATTTGCTTTGCTCAGATCCATCAGAGGAATCACTATCTAGGGCAGCTATAGCCTTATGAAATGTATTTCTTAAATCATAAGGCTTGAAAGTCAAAGTGACTCCTTGATCCATGGGCTGCAGAATGGATGTTCTGTTAGCAGGCCTGAAAACCACATTAGTCTCCTTATCCATCTTCATCAGAGCTCTTGGGTGCCCAGGTGCATTATCAATGAGCAGTAATATTTTGAAAGGAATCTTTTTCTGAGCAGTAGGTCTAAACATTGGGCTTAAAATATTCATTAACCATTGCTATAAACAGAAGTGCTGTTATCCTGGCTTTGTTTTTCCATTTATAGGGGCACAGGCAGAGTAGATTTAGCAGAGTTCTTAAGGGTCTCAGGATTTTCAGAATGGTCAATGAGCATTGGCTTCAACTTCAAGTCACCAGCTGCATTAGCCCCTAACAGGAGCATCAGCTTGTCTTTTGCATTGACTTCTCTCTAGCTATCTATGAAATTCCTACATGGCATCCTCTATACAGTAGAAACATCTTTCATGTTTTGTCTACACTGAAAATCTGTTGTTTAATGTAGGCACTTTCATCAGTGATCTTAGCTAAGTCTTCTAGACAACTTGCTGCAGCTTCTCCATCAGCACTTGCTGTTTCACCTTGCATTTTTATGGATGAAGACGACATAGGAGAAAATAGGCACACTGAATTGTATAGAACCATTCTGGGATTATTGAATCTTCTTTTTTTCCTAAAATTTAAAATTGTGTGGAACTTGAGTCTTGATACATAGCTAGTAGCAGGTATAGATAATAAAATAATTTGCAATGCATGCTGAGCTGAGGTTTGTGATTATTTTAAAACGTTTAGAAGGATTTTCCAACTTCAGAAAATTTGAGGCCAGGTGTGGTGGCTCACGCCTATAATCCTAGCACTCTGGAAGGCCGAGGCAGGCGGATTGTTTGAGCTCAGTTCGAGACCAGCTTAAGCAAGAGCGAGACCCCATCTCTACTAAAAAAATAGAAATTAGCTGGACAACTAAAAATATATATGTATAAAAAAATTAGCCAGGCATGGTGGCACATGCCTCTAGTCCCAGCTA